GAGAGAGAGAGAGAGAGAGAGAGAGAGAGAGAGAGAGAGAGAGAGAGAGAGAGAGAGAGAGAGAGAGAGAGAGAGAGAGAGAGAGAGAGGGAATCTGATGTGGTGATTCCCAAGGAAGGGTCGAACGGCCATCCCGAGAGGGAGGATATCGTGAGTAGCAGGAAGCCCTGGATTGATGCTCTGAAATCCGCTGCTACTCTTGACATGGACAAAAGACAAAAAATATGACCATGTATCTTGCCATGTTCTAACGAAGGGATTCACTCTCATTTTTGCACATTTGGAGAGTAGTGGGGTGAGGCCCTTGGCTGTGCCGTTTTCATTTTCATGTGTGTCCATGCTCAGAAATCGGATGGCAGAGGGCGAAGAGGCTAGGGGGGGGGTAAGAGGGGGACATGGTGTGAACGGGAGGAGCAGCAGGAGAAAGTGGCATCCGAGCAGGAGGAAGTGGCGTCCGACGGGGAAAGAGGAGTGGGTCGCCACCTGCGGCGGGCATCCGCTTCTCTCACCGTAATTCCATCCGGGACCCAGTAGGAAAAGTGGTAGTGTGAGTGTGCACTAACGCAGAGGCTGTATGGGCCGCCAGTCCATCAGCACTCAAGTGTCAGACATGCACCATCCTTCCAGTCCAGATGCCATGTCTGTATACATATATATATTCTATCTATCATTGTCATAGTTCTATTTTTAATATTTTTTATTATATGTATCTTATTATCTTGTTTGTAATGCAGTAAAATGTAGCACCCATTCATCGAGTACTAAATATGTGAATTGGAGTAAAAGACACTCAAAATTGTAAACATATATTACCGAGTCTATACCGACTTCAGTCCACTAGCAGGAAGAAGAGGCTCGGAGGAGGTGGTGGTTGAAACCACCAGACGAGCTGTCATCATCGCTGCCAACTAGTACTCACCACATTTGTGCCGTCCAGATCCACTGGAAACGTGATTTGGGTAGAGCACTGAGGTTCAACCATGTCCTTTAAGACTTCCTCCCTGCATCCAGACATCCATGCAAGGATTCAAATCACTGCAACATTAGGGCAAAAATCAAAGAGCCCACTGTGGCTTATTCATACCAGTTAATAACTGGTGCTTAACCAGAGAAGAAAGTAAGAATTAAGAACAGAGCAGGCAACATGCTGCGGTCCAATGGTACCTCCACGGCCTTTGTTGAAGTAAGAAAAACTTTAAGAAATACAACTCCTCACAAATTTTGAAAATAAAGGCCCCTTTCAAAAGCAGACGTATTCCAACCATTACGGATGGCCACACTGCAAGCAATATGGAAAAGATGATGCCCAACTACTCTCAGGGCTACTCGAATGGCAGATGATGAGCTCCTCAAGATCATAAAGCAGTAAAAAAAGAAAAATAGGGCATCAGAAGCATCAGGACAAGACAAGAGAGATGAACAAGCTTTTGATCAATATCCTCTGCGACAAGGCCTCCTAGTGAATATTGAAGGAACCCGGCTGCACTTCTGGAAGTGGATGGGAACAGAACCCAGTCACAACCAGGAGACCCAGGAAGAAGACCCGGAGCAGAAAGAGAGATGAACAAGCTTTTTTGTCAAGGGATCAAGCCCGCAAGCATGTTAAGATAGCATAGTCCATGTAGACAAAGGGACAGGAGCCAGGAAGGAAGCATGTAACAGAATGTAAAAGAGCAAGAGCAAGACCAAGAGAGAGAGAGAGAGAGAGAGAGAGAGAGAGAGAGAGAGAGAGAGAGAGAGAGAGAGAGAGAGAGAGAGAGAGAGAGAGAGAGAGAGAGAGAGAGAGAGAGAGAGAGAAGCCATCAGAGCAGCCTTGATAAGGGGAAGCCAGATTCATGGTCAAGTTCTTGAGGTGGACCATTCAGTTGTAGAAACCACAAACCTTACGACACCCTGAGGAAACGTAAAAGGCAGAGGCTGCAACTCGTCCCTTTGATACTGCGGAATGGGCTCTGACGGTTTCGGTATTCCTCCCTGCATTGAAATAAACACAGACGTTCCTACATTAGAATTAGTAAGTGACAGGTTCGACCTGTTGAAATTTTTCACTCTGTGCATTAATGTTGGAGTACATGAAATCTTCATCAGTCAACCACCAAAAGCATCGCATCCATATCCCCCATACATGTAGCAGTGCAAAGTCGTCGCAAACCATAAAACCAGAAAAAAACTCACGAGAGATAAGACTGCAAACAGAAAATTTTTACCAGAGAATGTAGCGTAGGTAGAGAAGAATCGGATGAAATTTCTCATGTTCGCATCGACCTGCTGTGAGATTCACTCCGATCATGTTCATTTTTTGTTTTACGAGATATTGAACGGATCAGAACAGATACTACACGATCTTTTTTTTCCCCAAAGGGCCAAAAAAATATCATTCACTAATTTCACTATATAAAACATAAGGGGTCCCCTGCATAGGCTTAGTAGTAGTAGTGGGTACTAGGTAGATAGTGAAAGTTGAAATTGAGAGAAGAATATACTAATATACCTTAGTAAAAATAAATAAATAAAAATAAATCAATAATTGAAGCTTCCACTATATCAAATAATTAGCTTATTGCAAACGATTATCCCCAAACAACCACAGCATGGAATCTGCGTGAAGAAGGAAAACCAACTACCTTCTTCCCCGGAAAAAAACGTACATACGGTCTAGTCCAATTACATTCGAAAATCGGACTTTTAGAAATCGCTCCTATTTTTTTCTTCCGCGTAGAACGTACGTTCAAAGACAACATAGGTACGTTGTATTTGAAGTCTGTGGCATTTGAGACAATTTTTTACTATTTGAAAAAACGTTCAAAAAAATCCATAAAAAACATGTCGGAGAACAATACAATACAAACATCTTTCGCCTAAGAGTATTGATGAAATTTGCTACCAAATTTGAGTAGAGTAGAACACTCGGGTCTTTTTTCTACCAGCTGCTCTACAAAGTAGCCGACATAAAGAACATCTCAATGACATTTGGCCCCTTTCTCTCCAACTCGGAATTGTTTCTTCTACACAAATGCTGCATGAATGAACGACACCTCCCTCTCTGCAACTTCTCAGCTCCTCTCCAGAGTAGCTGGCATGTGAACATCTAAATGACATGTAGCAACTCTCTCCAAATTTGCCTTATTTCATATAACACAAACGCTGGATGAATGAACAAGGAGAGAGAGCCTACCTCAAGCATCTAGGATGCTGGGTGCTGCTGCTGTGCCCTTTTTTTTTTTATTTAAACGGAGAAAGGCAAGACTGCCTTCGACTCCTATGGAGGGCATCTGCATTTCTCCTATGCTGTTTTTCTTCTCTCATTATTATGCTATTTTTCTTCTTTAATTATTTTTATGCTATGTTTCTTCTCTCATAATTTTTTCATCTCACAGTTCCTACCACTAGCCGTGTACTCACAACCGGTCTTATCCACCAACTGCACCTGCAAGGGGCATGGCAACCTGACCAGGACGGAGCACCACTTCGCACGTGATAGTAAGGGAAGACTGCAGGTAACAGCTACACTAAGCTACACTACGAGTTATGGGTTGAACATATCCCCTTGACACTAAGCCTATCTACTCTACTCTCACTCAGGCTATCTCTAACCCCCAGCAAGGCCTGGAAGGAACACGCACCTTCAAGACCGACGAGGGTGGGCAAGATGTCTCTCTCAGCTGGTGAACCTGAAGCCCGCCGCAGGAGGATGCGGGGAGCTGATTGAAGGACGTGGGAATCCAACCCACGACCTCCTGAACGCCACTTACATGCTCTACCAACTGAGCTAGGCCGCGAGCCCTGCTGCTATGCCTTCTTTCTTCTTTTTTTTTCTTTTTTCTTTTTTTCTGTTTCGCCCTAGGCTACCAGCCGGGCCGCCCGGGTCGGGGGTGGNAAAAAAAAAAAAAAAAAAAAAAAAAAAAAAAAAAAAACCGAAAAAAAACTATGTTATGCAGAAAAATAAAATGAACAACTTTTGCCTCGGGGTCACATCGAAATTATGCACCCAATTTAGGGGAAAAAATAAATTTGAAAAATATTTTTAATTTTTTTATTTTTTTAATTGTTTTACGCCCGGCCGGGCAAGTGACCCCGGGCCACTCTGGTAGCCTAGGTTTCGCCATCAAATCTGGGGGTTTCATTTTTGGTAAATGCGAAAGCAAATCTTTTGGACTTCCGGTTGCTGCAGACAGTTAGCAACTGCTAGTCCAGGGATGGCCTTTTGCCTGCGAGGCATAATATCCTTAAGAGCCAGCGTTATGGGGGGTTGCCTTTCGTCTTAAGGACAAGTGTCCTCTATGCCCTTCCTGAAATTTGAAAAAGTAGCGTCTTACAACTCGACAACAGATTGACCAAAGTGGCAGACATGCTAAAATTCACTCGTTGATGAGAGATTTGTCAAAACGAATTCAAAGAAACAAGCAGCATGAGGTGACGAGAATCGCATTCTGAAAATGTAATATGATGCGAACATCAAATGCAAAGGAGAAAACTCACCAGATACATCAAGATTAGTGGCAGTGCCTGCTCTTGGTTCATGTTCCCCACAATGACGACGGTGAAAGATGAGGGTTCCTTGAAACACTGGTCAAAGTAAGCACATGACTTCACTGGGTCCACTTTGCTCAGATCTGCGACAGTCACAGGCTATGCTCCACAACATGCACAAACAACAACATCACTGCCTATTTTAGCTGAATCGAGGACAAGAAGTGGTCACACACACCACACACGCACAGCAGTTTTCACTTTCACGCATCCGGGTTGAAGAGTAGGAAGAGGAGATGGAGGGAATAGGGAGACAGCAAGGAGAGGCTGGTGCGAGAGGAGCGGGTTTACGAAGAGAAGAACTGGTGGCAGAAGGACCATGAACATTCCACCGCCACATGACTGAGGAGGAGGGGGGCAGGAGGTGAGGAAAGAAGTGGGGGAAGTGGAGTGGGGCAGGAGGAGACTACGAGGGCAAGGAGGTGAAGCCTCCATGTCCAGCGCGAAACGAAGGAGAACGAACGGAAGGGCCGCAAACATCCACTGCTACGTCACATACTCCATGTCCATTGGGTGAGGAGGAGGATGCTGAATGATCGGGAGAAGGGGAAGGAGGACGATGAAGAGGAGGAGGAGGTGAGGAAGGAAATGGAGGTTGATTAGGTGAGGAGGAGGATGCTGAATGATAGGAAGCGGAAGGAGGGGGAAGATGAAGAGGAAGAGGACGAGGTGAAGGAGAACGAGGTGATGAAGGAAGCGGAGGAAGTGGAACCAGCAGAGGAAGGGAACGAAATGGAAAGGAGAAGAAAGGGGAGGAAGAGGAGATGGCTGCTTTTCTTTTCTTTTCAAAAAAAAATTGACACTCTTTTTTTCTGTAGGGGAACGAACAACACGGTTGCATATATCCACCGCCATGTCTCGTACTCCGTGTCGATGGGGGAGCCGCAAGATGAAGAGGAGGAGGTGACGAAGGAAGCGGAGAAAGCGGAGGAAGCAGAAGCAGCCAACGAAATGGAGGGGGAGAAGGACCAGGAGGAAGTGGAGGAAAAGGAGGTGGAGGCGAGAGCTACCTGGCACGAGGAGGAGGAGGCGGATGTGCTGTGCATGAGTGTGTCCTGCCTCGGCCATGAGCCTGGGGCCGCAGGCGAAGCTGCGGCGGGTCCACTTGTTTTATTGAACTCAAAATTCTTAACCAATAAACGAGATAAGCAGGCCATCGGATGATGACAAGATGAGTCCGGAGTTGACATTGGGAGTTTCCTCTGTTCTTCTTCTTCTTCTTCTTCTTCTTCTTCTTCTATTCTCGTCCTCTCCTTTCGTTCTCTTCATTCCTGTCCCCTTTGTGCCAACGCGACGGTAGAAGGAGAGAAATACCTTGAGTTGAAGAGAGGGAGAGGTGAGTGGGATAGAAGTGAGAGAGAGAGAGAGAGCATTCAAACTATTGAGAACCTAAAATCCTCAGTCCACGCAGCACCTCCTGCACACACTTCTCTAACACTTCTCCCATTTACATGCCGCTGGTGTCCGCTTGTTTTATGTCACAGAGGAACCCCCATCCATCCAGAGAAAGTCTAGCTTCTCCCATTTTTGTGCCTGACCTCTCTGATTTCATTTGCCAGAGGAAAGCCCCTCCATCCAGAGAAAGAAACCAGATGTTCAAGTTCCGCATCGTCAGCAGATATAATGGTATCTATACATACCCCTTGCTGTGTAGATTGAATGAGAGGCACACTTCACCTATTACATGAACTACATGTGGAGAGCCCTGACTCTACAAACAACAATGCAGCTCAAAGGAATCATCACTGTCCTCAGCCTATTCGCAAAGATGGAATAGATGACTGAAACCATCGTTACAGGAGTTGCCCTGATTGCCTGTCATTTTCACCCTGCACTTTCACAAAAACACGTCGTGTAAATGCACACCATCCACAGTATTCCACTTGCAAGCTACAGGACTTTATTCCTTGAGAATTTTGTTCCAGAGGATGCTCTTAGAATCTTACAAACTACCGTCTTCAGCCAAATGGAATGCCTGGTCATGATAGCCGTTCGTGGTGCAACTTTCAGTCTGAATACACCGATAATGACCGGCCGTTCTATTCTGGTGAAGACGGTAGCGATGCGTGCCAAAAACAGATTTACTTAAATGCAAACCATCCATAGTATTGTGCTTTCAGGCTGCAGGACTGTATGCCTTTGCTTTCTCACCTCAGCGTCAGTAGGGACCCAGAAAGCTGCCTTCGCTTTTGGTGTTCCTTCTAGTATCTATTATTAGTTTTTTCAAGTGTTGCTACGGGGTATGCTTTTGGGAAAACTGCCAACTAGCAATGCATGCTTTTACCTTGAAGTAGTAAGAATCCCCATAGTTCAGCGAGCGCACCCGGTTCGCATAGGCAGTAAATGGATTGCGCTCCTGTGCCTTGATCGCTTCCTCTGTCATCTGCATCACAACTTCCAGGTCCTCCTCCACCGGCGTCACACTTGTAACAAAGAGCTGATACACAAGCTGCAAAAATCATAGCCACATCCGAAGAAAAATCAGCCTCAACCAACACTGAACGACCCAACACCGCATGGCCCAACACCGCACGGCCCAACCATACCAGGCACACCACCAGTTGCTGGCCGTGGCGGTGAACTGGTTGGCAGGCACACTGTCACCATCATGAAGACTTGTTCAGTTTCTCCTTTTCCTTCTATTAACTTCAAGCATGAGCATTACATTGCTGGACTATTTCCCTGCCCACACATCCCTGCTGCCACCTTCTGCAGATGCGACAGTGTTTTTTTTCTAACTTTTCCTTCCGTTCTTTTCTATAGCACGAGTCTTGACTATCACAGCCTCGCTTACCATGCGTGGATTTTGTGCCTGCACTGGACCACCTCTCCCCCCGCCCCCCCACACACAACCTTCACTTCCTGCTCCTGCCGTGAACCTAGCATCAGTCTTTTTTATTATTGCATGCTTTGATGCATGGTTGCACGTAGCCACCTTCCCAGGACCACCTCCTTTCCCCTCTCCTTCCTGCCCAGAAACTTTCCCTCCTGCTTCTCTCCACACCCCTTCCCCTCCTTGTCCAGAAGCTCAACATCAACACTAGCTCTCTTAATCTTAAGCCCCGCATGCACCTCATCTTGATCTAGCTACCGTCAACAGAGCCATAATCATCATCATCATGCATGGGTCCTGGGGACCATCTCACGCAGATGTGTACATGTCATGCATCATCTTCACACGCAGTGATCAATAGTCTCAACCATAGACAAAGGTAGAGAAGAAGAGGACCGAGTTTCACAGCTTATATTATCAGAAATATGAWTACAAAGTGTTTCAATGTTCCCCTGAGTCCAGCCCTCATCAGCGCAACACAGATCTCTGTTCGACTCATCAAAATGACTTCCAAGGCATCAGCCCTACCCCTGCAGATTGTCTCCCAGTCATCAATATGGTCACAACTCATCAGCGCCACCTCTGCAGTTCACAACCAACTCAGGTAAGTGTCTCCCATAGCCAAACCTTGAATGAACACTCTATABCTCARTCCCTYCCTCTKWYGATGCATACACATTCTYYWCTCWYGAGGATCTAYTCYGAATACTACTCATAGCTACABACTAACCCTCTACTACTAATGCTAACTCGCTGGGCAGCTATGGCTGCRTCAYATCCAGCGTACAGGCTTCTTCCCCCACTCAGCGCATCTTCTACCTCCAGCGCTGTTCCTCCTGACTCAGCGCACAAGTGCACCAGCACTTCCACGCATTGCGGCCAGTGGAGATCTGGCGAGGAATGAGGCAGGCAGCTCCCTTTATAGTGCTGACCACTCCTCGCTGGGTCTGCATTGGCTCAATTCGGCCTTTCCTTTGTCCCAGACCCTGCATTGCATGTGTCCCAGTAGAGTCCCAATGAAGTTCAACTGCTGCTGAGGCCTCTCGGCCTGTATTTGGACTTGAAAGTCTGGATCTGGACTGACCCCTTGACTTAGACCAGAACTGGGACTGTGCCTATTGACTTTACTTTCGGACAGGCACAACTCTCAACGAACAGACACTTTCCTTTGCACGAACAGGTACACTGCCTGCACGTACAGACACACTCTTACCTGAACAGACATGACATACACATCTCCTGGTGAACAGGCAAGTCTTTTGACAATGCCCTTTGCCTTAGATTTAGATGTGCCTGTTGAGAGAGAACTTGACCTTCGACCTGCTTTCACGTTTCTGAGCCCTGGCGAGATACCTTTTCACAATGCTTTACTTTTACAAGGCCCGTGCTGCTTTCCTTTTACAAGGCCTTAGGCCTACATCGGGTAAAGGCCCTTTTAATCATCATCATCATCATCATCATTCATCATCACCAGTCCTCCTCCTCCTCCTCTTCTTCGTCCATCATCATCACGCTCGGCAATTTCACCACCACAGACAATCCTACTCATTAACCAGGTTCCAGAATCTGTTTCTTGGTTTTCGATCCTCCACATCTAGGCCATGTTTGTTTTATTGCAGACTGGTTGCATGTCAGCAATGTTCCCTTCCGTAACACGTGTTGCTAGGGGGGGCTGCCCCTGCCATTTCCAACACGGTCACCGTTTTGTGTACCATGTCACCACCACATTATATTCCTGTAAGGCTGTCATGGTCTGCAATTTGCGGTTAGAACAAAGTGTTACAATCTGATTCCTGTAGAAATGTCCGTTGTGAACTTCCACATGAGCTGCAGGTGCACGGAGAAGGCGTTGCTTCGTGCCCTGCCGCATCTTATATAATCAGAGCCGTTTTTCCTCATGACCTCACATTCTGTTGCCCATTTTAACCCCGGCCCTCTTTTTCATGTTTTTAAGAAGAATGTAATTCATCTTATTCCATCCGGATTCTATCTCGGGTCTCTGTTTCAATAATTCCTGGGCTCCGGGCTAGGCCCGTTACTTGCCTCTTCTCTCTTTTACATATGAATTCGGACTCCGGTCTGTATTTCAACAGTTCATGGTTGTACCGACTGAGCTAGGCCCATCGGTCCTATTGTTTTCTCTTTCTTTCTTTTTCTCTTTTTTTATTTGGACCATTTATCGATTTATGCGTGTCATCCTTGCGCAGTGGCCATGCTAATCTTCTCTGTATCGTTCATGGATGTCCCGAAGGACAGGCTCTTCTTTTCTTTTTAATTTGGACCATTTCACAAATTTATGTGTGCCCGGATTTGTTATAGGCACTGAATGACCTAGCTCAGTTGGTATACCCATGAACTGTCGAAATACAAACCCAAGATCGAATCCAGCTTCAATTGGATGAGCAGAAGGCCCTCTATCTTTTTTTTCAAAAAAAAAGAAACTTTGTGGTAGTGTGTAATACTGTGTATAGCACTGTATACACTGTATATCATGATTTTGAAGTGATTTGCCCAAGCTGGATAGAGGGTGCAACGGCAATGTTCACAAAGTTGTCATAGTGAATTTTGGATTGCAGGTCGTGGGCTGAAAAAGAAGTGCGTGCACAGCAGCGCTGGCATCACTATACCATGGTCCTTAAAATTCCACGACGTACGTGCCACTTAGTAGGAGATGCTTGCAGACCTTGTGCATACTCACTGCCGACATGCCCACTGCAATGTTCATCTACTTTGTAAAAAATGAGAGAGAATTCCAGGCATGCAACAAGAGCAATCGTGCCCACTGAAAATGTGCACAAGACTCCATGTGCAGATCTACAACACGGCATGAGTTTGAACCTTGGTGGACGATGAACACTCACTTTCCCAGCCTCTGTGGCTGAATTGTACACACACGATAGATCATGGGTTCGAATTCGAATGGGCATCATGGGTAACTGTACGTGCTCTACCCCTGCCTATATATGTCTAGGGTTATGGGGGTAAAGTCATAACTCTATTCTCGTCTGCTCTGTTCTTTACCCTTACCCTTTCTTCTCAGCCCTACCCTGTCTCTTTGCCAAACCTGTATCTTTTGCTTGCTGGTACTAAGCAACTGGACTGCCGTCCCTCAGAATAGATGGGGCATGGATATGCTGGGTTGAAAAGGGAAAAAAATAAAAAATAAAGAAAACAAACACCTACAAATAGACAAAGACAGAAAGCATCCGAAAACATGAGCAAACACTACCTCTCTTGGCTACCATGCCAGTGCATGCAGTGTGCTGTGGACTCTATCCAAGTAGATATCTTACCTTTAATTGGGTCTCAAAATCAACAGGAGAGCACTCCCCAGAGAACGTTCTCATGTAGGCACCAATCTTGGTGCCAACCTCTGCTCTCTTTCCTCCCAGCATATCCACCAGTACATCAGGCTTGAATCCAAAAACCCCAATCTCCCCAGCTATGGTGGTGCTCATAGAACAAGAATGGAAGTCACTCTCCGGGACGTTTGACAGCCCACCATACGCATAACCATTAATCAGAACCTGTACCACAGACAATGGAAATCCGTATGTTAGAAATGTCCGAGCGGGAGACTTTGTGAACTCCAAAATCCTGCACGAATAAGGACACAAAATGTTTTCGTTCGCTGTTTTACAATGCAATGTTCAACGAACCTGGTCATCTGAGAAGTCGGTGCACTTAAGGCAAACTTTCATGCCATTGCTCAGCACCATTTCAGTGACTAACGCCTCCTTCAAATACGTTGTTGAGACCATAAGCCTGCCGCCAATAGCACCACATGCCAGCAGAACACACAACATGCTCAGGTTCACAAGATATACTGATCACTGGTAAGAAAAGCCCAGAAAATCCAACGCAAATCCGCAGTCCCTTTCCGAGCTATTTCGTTCCCATGCCACAGTTACCACACAAAGTTAGCAGGGGCATGGCCTACCGGAAGCAAAAGGCTGGATGGGCCAGGCAAAAAGAAACAATTTCCCAACCAAGCCGCATCCTTGTCTTTGGGTGCGCAGCGGAAAACTGGGTAGGAAAAGAAAGGCTCAGAGACCAACTGCCCTAACTCAGTTGGTACACCCATGAACAGTTGAAACACAGAACCAAGTTCAAATTCCAATGGAAACAGATGAGGGGAAAAAACTCTGAATTTAACTTGGGGCCAATCAGCTCAAAGATGATATCTCAAGGCCGTAACTGTTTTTTTCAAAAAGGAAGAAAAAAAAGTTTGAACTGACATAGGGTTTCCAATCGTCTTCACCCGAACATAACACCCGGTCATTATAGCCGTCTTTGGGGCAGTTTTTCTGTCCAGACGCAGCGATAATTACCAGGCGTTCTATTCGGGTGAAGATGGTAGTCAGGCAAAGAGGTTTCCACAATAGAAACCAGGATAGAAGGCAGCCCAGGAAATCCAACTTAAGAGGGAAGACGCAGACAATGCACCAAGCAGGGTCCATCTCATCACATTTACTGTTGTGCATGCACTGCCACCAGTGTTGGGGCTAAATCAGTACTAATTAGGGAATTTCCACACTAAACACCAGTATATGAAGCAGTGTATAGAGGAAAGACACAAAGCCTCTCCCCTCCATACCCTCTTTTACATTCCACAGACCAGATGCCGGTTCTCCATAACATTTCCCACCTCTTCATCACAATAATCCAAGACATTGAACCATGGCTACGATCCGGACCACCGGACAGGGATCCGGACCGTCCAGGTCCGGCGTCCGGTACCAGATTCCGGATCCCAGTCCAGATAGGAGGGCCCAGGGCCAACGGGCAACTTTTTTTTGCCAGTCCTGGGCGTTTCTCCACCCCCAGGGCCGCCAGAGAAAAATCGGACCCTGATTTTTGGAGGCCCTGAAAGGCAACCGGAACGGCCAGAATTTTTTTTTCCCGTTTGGGGTTTCTAATCCTCGTTTTTTTTTTGCGCCTTTGGAGGTGTTGGTGGCCGCGGTTTTGCAGAGGAACCTTCAAATTCGAAGGTCTGGCAAGGCTGTTACTCCCCGCTTCGACTTTGGACTCACGTGCAGCCAGCCATCGCCCGTGACGAGGGAGGGAGACGCAGGGCGACGACGCACATGAGGAGCAGCGCGAGCAGCAGCACAAGGAGCAGAGTGAAGCAGATTTCTCTCTCTCTCTCTCTCTCTCTCTCTCTCTCTCTCTCTCTCTCTCTCTCTCTCTCTCTCTCTCTCTCTCTCTCCCCCCCCCCCCCCCCCCCCCCCCCCCCCCCCCCCCCCCCCCCCCCCCCCTCCCCCCCATCCCTCTTCATCCCCATCCTCCACCTCCCCTTCTTCCTCCTCCTCTTTGCACTGTGACGGTCTTGCTCCTCCAACTCCTTATCCCGCTTCTCCTCCGCCTCTTCCGCCTCCTCCTCCTCCTCTTCATCGTGCACCTCCTACTTCGCGTTTTCTTCCTCATGGCCTTGCTCCTCCTGCCCGTCGTCATCTTAGTCGTCGTCCTTCTCCTGCTCCAGGTCTTCTTCCTCCTCCTCTCCCTCCTTTTCCTCGCCTTCCATGTCGTCTAATTCATCATCTTGATCCTCTTGCTCCTGCTCTTACTCTTCGTCTTACTACTCGTCTACTCGTTCTCCCTCCTCGCCCACGTGCTCCACATGGCCCTTTTTCTTGTTGTTTATTTATTTCAAATTATCTTTGTTGTTACGGCTTCTCCCTCCTCGACCTCTGCCGCTGCCTACTCCTCCTGCACGTCTTCTTCCTCCTCTTCTTTGTCCTCCTGCATCTCCTCCTCTTTCGTGTCCTCTAACTCCTCTTCATCTTTTTGGTCCTCCTTATCCTGCTCTTGGTCTTCAGCTTGCTTGTCATTGTTGAGTCATTTCTCTTTCTGGCCGCGCGCTCCACGTGGCGCTCTTTTTCCCTTTTTCCTTTTTTTTTATCACCATCTTGTGCCATGCGCTCCACGTGGCACTCTTTTCCCTCTTTTTTTTCCTTTATTGTCTCCCCTTCCTGCCAGGCACTCCACGTGGCGCTCTTTTCCCTTCTTTTTTGTTCCTCCTGTATTTCCGCACCCAGCGGCAAACTGCCAAGAACACGGCTATAATACCTTTCTCAACTTTTTGGCTAAGATCATGTGTAGTATCAAAAGGCCAAGATCAAGTCTAGTAGATGTTCTGATCAGTTAACTATCTGATCCGTGGTCAATGGGCCACATTTACGCGTGTGCAGTGCGCACTGCAGCGACAGCACACTACCCAGCGTTCACTCCGGTAATGCAAGCATGCCCTCGTGCTTTTTTTTGTTTTCTTCCCCGAAAAATATAGGGGATCCAGACGTGCATCCAGACGGGATCCAGACCGGTCCCGATATTCCAGAAAATTCCGGTTTTCGGAGGTCCGGATGGGCCTGGGAGGTCCGGGGTCCGGATTCGGTCCGGAGTCTGGTCCGGCCTAGCTATGCATTGACGACAAAATATTCTCATCATAGTTGATGCAGATAGGATCTGCGTTCAGATAATTCACAGTAGGTCCACAAGTATGCATTATCTACTATTTAGTTCTTTTCTGAGCGGAGGCGGACACACAAAAGGGCAAAAAGACAACGTTCTCAAGCAGGCGTTTGTGGGACTGTGCGGCTACCCAAAGGGCCAATTGAGGGCCGTGGCTATCTTCTCTTACACTCATAAGCCTAACAGTGTGCTATTCATTAACGCTTCCCTCAAGCCTAAGAGATTTAAGAAAACAAAGGAACAGGATATGTTGTGTGTACGCCCCGGTTAGTTGTTTCATTCAACAAAGCAATCATGCAACATTCTGACATGTTTCACTCGAGAAATCGCATCTGGACGTTCCGATCAACCAACAACTGGTATCCGATGTTCGAGTTCATGTCAGCCATGGAGTGCTGTCAAGTTTGCGGAGATTAAAAAAGAAAGAAAAAAAGTTTGGGGAGGTCAAAACCTACCCTGGTATCGGTTTTGTCACCACTAGATCTTCTGGCACATCATTCCCCTGCCAGGGCTCAATGAGCCCTAATCTCTCCCTTTCCTCCACCTTCTCGACCACTGCCTTCAGCTTTTCCGTCGTTGCACGTGCTCTGTGCTCCACAACCTTGATCACACAGCTCTCCCTTAGCGAGTATTGCTTGGCAACTTCCACGACTTCGTCGAGAGTTATTACTGGAGGCAAACAAGGTGTGCATTACGAGCATCACACAAACAAGATTCTCATTCCTTCAGATCAAGCAACCTCTCAAGTCAGTTATCGTTCGCCATCTGACTGTGACCATAAAGTTTCCCTGTAAAGATATAGACATAATCAAGTCGGGTGTCCTCGTCTTCCGAAAGATCCTTGGCAGGCGCAACAGACTGGGTGCTCCATGAGTTAAAGTGGCCATCCATTCAAAAGATCCCTATAACAGCAAACCCACTTTCGTCTTCCGGACATTGGGTCAACAAAGGCATTTAAAGTGGCCATCCATTCAGCAACTGCAGTCCCAGTGGGCGCAGTGGACAAGACGGCCTCTCTCTCTCTCTCCCGCCTACTCATCACCCCACTTCCCCAAGTACCATGCCACACGCTTAGCCCTGTGCATTATTTTCTGGCCTTGAAAAGCTGACAAAGCTTTGAAGAATGCAGCGAAAGGCCAAACAAGAGACCTGACAAGGAAGGGGTTGATGGAGGAGTGGGGTGAACGAACAAGAAACAATGAAGAGCAAAAGAAAAGATCAGCATGAAAGACAACTAACTGAACATGTTACCTGGAAGAAGAGTCTTTACCAGCTGTGCTTCAAATTCAATCCCAGGGACTGGCTCGTTCCTCAAGAAGTGCTGAAAAGGCAACAAGAAGACAACGAAAGCCACAAACTAAGTAACTCAGTCTCCGGACAAAAAAACACAGCACCAAGTCTTCACACCGACCGTAAAGTCGAAGTCGTGTTCGTTTTTTTCTTCCAATCAGAAGTGGACAGATTTTAAATCATGCATACCTACTAAGTAACATATTTGATAAAGCAGAATCAATAACAGAAAGCATATCCACAAGCTACGTTCCCAATCCCCTCAAGGATTACGGATCCCCTTCGACGTTGAAACAAATTCGAGAAGAAACTGGAGAAGACAAGTGCTCTGCCAAACTGCAAAACAAACAAATTTTGGTCTACGGTCAATCAAGAATTCCTTATTGAAGAAGAAAACTTATAAGTTCGAAGTCATGAATTCCCATTAACAAAAAACAAAAAAAACACAGAGCTTGATCACTAGCAATATGCTTGGCATGACGCAGAATGCCCAGCCAGGTGACCCAGGTAGCATGGTCCACAAGGGAAACGTATGAAAATAGCCTGCTTCCGACGTTGAGAGACAAAAATAGTTCGGTGAGGTTTGATCTGCTTTCTGTTCTCCGTAGGGCCCTGATACCTCCTGACCTCACGTTTTTTTCTCTCATCAGCCAGAGTGGGCTTCTCTTGGCCTTCACCCTATCCGCAGACAGCTTGCAGGGAAGAAGTATTAATCGCACTTAGTAGAAATAACTTGCAGTTCATGACCAAGAAACACCCTCTGTTTCACTCCCAGAGCCTCTTCTCAGCTCGATAGGACTGCCGGAACCGTTCTGACATACAGTGTGACACAACAGCCAGCTCCTCGACACATCAACTCTCGAAAGCAATCCAGTTGAACGGTTGCTATTATGAGGAGAATTCCGCAGTCCTCCTGTCAGAGTCGTCGATTCCCAAAAGCGGCCCAGTTGAGTTCCAATGCCTGATAGTTTGGGAGTAGTGCGAGAAGTTGCTTTGCACACACTCACCTGCATGTACTCATCTCGAAGATTCTGAGAGGGGATCTGTTCTCTCTCTGCGTATGCAGACTCAACATCCGCCATGTACTGCGACCGAACTTGTGCAATCTCTCGTTCTGAAAATCCATGTAAGCGAGCCCGTGCTAACTGCACAATGACAATGAATCAGCATAAGGATGCGACACAAATTCACAAACCTATCAGGACTGCCAATTTCTCAACGACAAAAGCAAAGACACGTATTCATTCATCTATCCACTCCACACAAGAAACCAACTCACTTGCATTTGTTCATATTTGGATGGTCCACACGATGGACTGATGTTCCAGACAACCAACCCATGTGGCCGAGCGGGACATGTAGTATTCGTTCATCTCTCCACTACACACAAGAAACCAGCTCACTTGCATTTGTTCATATTTAGATGGTCCACAAGATGGACTGCTGTTCCAAACAACCAACCCATGTGGCCGAGCAGTACACACATGGAGCTTTGATGAACAGATTGTGAGTTCGACTCCTATGGGGATCAGATGAATAAGGCGGAACTGCCCGTTCAAACAAGGGATCCTCTACAGTTCCATATCGTGTGACATAATGAGCCATTGTCCCCACTTTTCTGAGAAGAAACAGAAAAAATAAAAGATGCTTCCAAGCTAATTGCCAACCTCCCTACAACTCTTAGGTGTGACGTTGGTGTGGGCGCAGACAAATGAGCTCCCTCCTGTCACAGGGAAAAAAATGCATCGTGTACTGACAACGCCTCTCCTCTAACAGCGAGAAAGGGCACCTCTGGCATTAACCAAGCTAAGAAAACCCTCGTAAAAACTTGCCTGGCCCTCTAAATACAGATCCGCCTGCCAGTCACATTCAAAAAAAGAGTTGAGCTTTAGATCGCTTCCAAAAATGACCACCACTATGGCAGACATGTCAGACCACGCCGACCAATAACATTGGCCATCGAGTTGAGAGGCTAGAATAACCATCAGAAAACTGCCTGGAACCCGTCCATAGAACGCTTCCTGGTTTTCATCTAGCTCCTCATCATGAATTCGATGTACTCTAGTAGTGAACCACAAACCGGAAGGCAAACAGAGATCTGAATCGGCAACTACCAATGGCACCTATATTCCTAACAAGGGAAGGAATCTAAACAACACAAAGGTATTTGACACTGGCCTCAAACCACCACTGCTGTGCACCCTATTTTCACCTGAAGGAAACATTTCCATGCAGTGCATGTCAGACCAGTCACAGGCAGGAACAGTACACCAGAAGCGTGGCCTCCACACATTCCTCCTCCACAGTAAAATTACTGGGTGCGCCAGTTGTACTTAGGGACATTCATGTCATTTGTGATATCTACCAACGTCACTCAAATTCCTCACAACGCAACGAAACGAAACGAAACAGAGCGGATCAGATCGGAGGGGAACAGGAACGGAACCGAATGAACGGAATGAAACGAACGAGAAGCGATGAGACGAAATAATATAGAGGAGTTTCACCGAAAGAGCCCAGAAAGTGGAAAAGAGTGAGATGACAATCTGTTCCGAAGAAATACCCAAGCAATAACCTAACAAGCAATCCCTGATGAAGGAACTTCACAAGTCCCTTTATACTCCCAGATGATGCACACAAGTTGTGACGACAAGGCAACAGATCAAAAGATCAAATCCCGGTACATACCATCATCAAGCAAAACAGAGAAAAGCCAAACCGAGCAGGAAACCAATAAAAACCCAACAGGAAACCAATAAAGTGCATCTTCTTTGGATCTGTGGTAGATGATTCCTTTTCAGACCGCGCTCAAGCCAAGGCATGACCTACCAGATAGCAAAGAATACTGTGCCAATCAACATCATACATGGGCAGAAATGCAGTCTGTCACATTCATAACATTCTACATCCTATTCGTCAGCACGCCCTCACACAACCAGTACACCCGACCCTCATTTAACCAAGGTGCACAGCCCCTGTACGCCAAGCTTTTCCGGAACGCCAGTGCGACACTTCTCTTTTCCTTTGCACCAGCCAATTTGGTCTGGGCAGCCAAGAGTCTCCAAACTTTTTGGAAAGACTCCTTTTCGATTCCCAAGTTTGCCTGGGCGATGAACTGGCAGTTTAAAAGCCATAAGACACAATAACTGCCTGCCCTCATAGATCAGGACAATACCTGCTTAGGTAATCAGCACAACAGCACAACATAGACAGTTAACCTTGGACAATTCTTCAAGGATGTTTTCACCCTAGCTTAAGTTGTTCAACACCATCTCCTCGTCATAGCTTCAATCAGAGTAAATGCATGCTTGTGGAAATGAAAATGGCTGAAAAAGTACTCCCTCTCTGAAACCTTCCTCCCCGTCCTCTCCTCTCTCACATTTACCTACCTACCTCAGTGAGCATTGCCTCCAATGCCCGCACCGTGCCTTTGTCCTGTACAGTGGCTGACATCATGTATGAGTTAATTGGACGAGCAAGCACTTGGCTGCTGGATTGGCATGAGTAGAATGGCGGATTCTTCTGTCTTGACAGCTTGAAAAATCGCTGATTGAGCGCCATGTGGAACATCTCCTCGACCAATAAACTTCGGAAATCGTCGAGAGTGATCCGATCCTTGTTCGGCATTTTGCAGCTCAGCATAACTGCAGACTGAGAACAAAAGAGAAACAAAACGCACAATTGGAGGCAGACAGTGAAATTGATCGTTCCAGACAAGTCGGCAAAACAACCGGCCTCTCTCTCTCTCTCTCTCTCTCTCTCTCTCTCTCTCTCTCTCTCTCTCTCTCTCTCTCTCTCCT